CCCCAAAACCCCAAAACCCCAAAACCCCAAAACCCCAAAACCCCTAGTTATGAGTTCCTTAATGAAAATTATTTTATCAAATGAGGACCCTTAATGATGAAGAAGTGGAAGAAGTAGAGGACATCCTTAGGGAGAGACATCCTCTATTCTTTAATGGCATCACAATTTCAGATATTTTCCCACCATTCCAGTATATTCCTTGATTGAATAAGGATAATTCCAAGCAGAAGCCGGACCAAGAGAAGATTTTACCGAAAGATATTGAGCGGAGTGATGACCCAAGTGGATCAGTTATTCATTCAGATGGAGAGAATACTTCCAAGTCATTCCATATCCTTGGATTTGGAACAGTTGCATACTTAGATTTCCATAGATACCTAATGATCTTGTACGGAATCATTGTGGTACTACTTTTACCATCTTTAACAATATTTTTATTTTATGGAGATGGGAGAAGAGTTGGAAGCTCAATATTCACAAGAATGACACTTGCAAACATCGGATTCACCAGTGCATTATGCAAAGATGTTACATTAGCAGTTGGAAATCTAACCTTGACTTGTCCAACAGGCCAAATCGGGGAAATAGTCAGCTTTGGAATCATCCCTTCCGAAGGAGTTATTAATGATGCTTGCCTCCCAAATGAAGAAACTACAAGATGAAATAGTATCATTGATTTTGAGAAAGTTCAAGCGAATCTGGAAGCTAGATGTGTAGGAAAGCCATACTGAACCATTGATGTCTTCAAACAGATATCAACAACAGGCCCTGAAGAATGAGTCAGCTCATATGCTCAGTTCTATACCCAGGTTTATTGAGAGCTTCCCAAGAGCGAGGTTGGAGACAGGGATATTCTAAGTATTTGGTTCAGCGTGCAGATTTTACTTACTACATTAGCTTATATAGGATTTCTCTTCTTCCTCAGAAAGAGAACATCACAAGAGTATACTGAGTGGGATGCCCAAACAACGACTCTCTCTGATTATTCCATGCACTACAGTATTCCTGAAGCTATATTTAATGATTATAAGGAGAGAGTATATCGAGATAAGAGGATCAATCCAGATTTGAAGGAAGATATCCCATCTCACAGAGATCAGGAGATAAACACACGGGATTATGAAGAAGAAAATCTCCTTTTTGGTTTTAAGCTATTTCTGAAAAACGAGTTTGAGAGAATTCTTAAAGAGCAGCAGGCTATAAAATACGATGACGACGACCTTGTCACCATATCACACATTCATCTAGGATTTGACCATACTTATCTCCACTCCTTGCTTCAGGACAGAGGATCTGCAATTAAGAAAGGTAAAGTTGAGAAAAAGGAAAATATCGAGAAGAAAATTGTCGATTATATCACTGAAAATAAAGTTTATCTTTCCACACCAAGAGATGCTTATATCATTTTTGAGACTGAAGAGAGTTACCATAGAGCAATGAAGTTCACATCAATAAAGAAATGTGGCTCTGAGCTGCCGACTACTCAATGGAGAGGGACTAATCTGATCTTTAGTAGTGCGAAAGAACCTTCAAATATATCCTTTGAGAGCAAGTTTAAGAGCAGGGCTGTCTTTATTGGAAAAGTCATTATGGTCGCTATCATACTCGTCATTGCCTTACTGACAACATGTTATCTTATTTTCTTCTTCCAGGACCGAATCAACAGATTAAACAGACAGTATCCTGAAGTCAATTGAAATGCTGTGGTTGCTGATTCTACTCCAGAGATGCTGAATGATTATGCAATGTTAGAGTACTTTCACTATGAGTCATCAGATAAAAGTGATGAAACAATTCTGATGCTCAACACTGATAACCTACAATGCTTCTGTGATAACTTGAGGGACGATATTGGGTATTTAGATGCTTATAACAAGGAGTTCAATATACAAGTTTTAGGGCATGATATAAATGGGAAAGTCTGTAATGACTATCTTCAATCTGCAATCTTTATAAAGGCAACAGCAGTTATTCTCCCAGTAATGATTATCATCTTCAATGTTGTCTTAAAGATGCTAGCTATTAATCTTGTGTACTGGCTACATATCGAGAATAGAACAGTAAATATTGCTATAATTCAGAGTGTCGTATTCATTCTGATGTTCTTTAACAGTGCCCTGGCTATTCTTCTTATTAACGCCAACATAGAAGGCTTCAACGATGATGGTGTCTTTTTCAATGGTCTTTACTCTGATTTTAGTGATGATTGGTTTGATAAAATATCAATGTTCTTTATTTCACCAATGTTTGCACAATTGGTGTTCCCGATCAATGCCTTCTTACCTGGATACATTATTCAAAAAGTATTAGCAATGCTGGATAGAAATTTTTCTGATAAAAAGTTGTATAAGACAAAGTGTAATCTCGCATATGATTATGCAGATCTGAACTCTGGTACTGAACACCTACTCTATGAAAAATATCCTAGACTGCTTAATATCATTTTCGTTTCGAGTTTTTATGGGTTTGGACTGCCACTATTACCAATTTTAATCTTTGTTTGCTTGATTATTTCTTACTTTATTGACAAGATAGTGATTGCCCTTTATCATCGGAAGCCACCTCTATATGATGACACTTTGAATGTAGTTAGTATCCACCTCTTGAAATGGGCTGCTTTCTTCTATATTGCTATTGCATTCTGGATGCTGACTAACAAACAGATCTTTGGGAATGACTTAAAGCCAATTGCCTACCAGGCCCAGATAGAGTACTACGATCATTATATTCTAGAAGTGCCAGATACCTACCAAGAATGTGTTGTTCTAGCTGTGGCGTTGCTAATCCTTGGTTTTCTGATTGTAGACCTTATCTACAGGCTCTTCTATCCTCTTTATGAGACCACTAACCAGGAAGAAATTGAAGAATTTGAAGACCTCCCAGTATTCTCAAAAGCTTTGAATGTGAAAAACCTTGATTTCTGGGTCAATGAGGAAAAGCAAATCCGTGAGAAATATGGATACAAATACCTCTTTGACGAATTTTATCATAAGATTAAAGAGAGGTACAACTCTGCTACAGAGAGGAAGAATTTAAGAGTGAAACACACAAGCCATAAAGAACATATTTCTGATGCTACGAACTATGACTTACTATATATGAACAACTATTCCCATAAATATGCTTATATCCCTGCTTCTCAGAGAAGAGGCCAGACTATTGACAACGATTCTAACTTTACAAGAAGGGTTTTAGACTTTCCATACCACCAGGATACCCAGATTTCCTTCTATGACCCTGGGCATGCATTTACTAATAATAGTTGCAGAGGAGAGGAGACCAAGGAACAGCCTCTAAAGAAGTTGATTACTCATGTCGTGGTTTAGTGTAAAAATTGCGATTTAAAACCAAATTATTTAGAAATTTGGGGTTTTGGGGTTTTGGGGTTTTGGGGTTTTGGGG